CAAAAAACGCGTTAAATGTTTCATCTGAAACGTGTTTTAGAACGTTTGAAAACGCGTCTTTTGTACGTTTTTAACGCAAAAGTAACGCGTTCTCTAACGCGTTGCGAAATTCCGAAAAACGCCTTTTAAACGAATAGATAAAAGAAAAACGCGTTTAAACGACAAAAAGAAACGCGTTGGTTTTGAAACCTTTAACGCGTTTTTTGGTAGTTAAAAACGAAAAAAAAACGCGTTTTTTTGTCAATTTTTTTACCTCTGGGCTTATTCTCAAAATCTGAGCGCGTAGAGACGTAAAATAATTTCGCGTTTTACGGTTCTCCACACTGCTATAGAAACGAACATAAGCACTGGCTCATTTTATCTGTGCATTTGACTGCAGCCATTGCGGTACTCATTCTTACTCAATGACTTGTAACTGAGTACAGTTTTGTTAACGAAATAAAGGTCAAAATAAAAGGAAAATAATTTAAGTGACTCAATTTTTGGTGTAACAAATTTTCTTTGAATTGTAGTGATCGTTGCAATCTACGCTAGCTGTCAAGCCGATGAGTCACCGTATACACTCCACCGACTATATAGCGACACGGAATTTGTTTATACGATACACGTGTGTTCGTTCCTATATTTATTCACACGAACAAACATCTTTCGCATAAACCATATATACTTTTCTAACATTTGTTTCCACATAAAGAATTTATATACAAATATGTTGCAGCCAAAATTCAAATTTGGCTAGGAAAACTGAAATTTTGACTAGAAGTTAGTCTGAAAATGGTATATTTGTTAATACTATTTGACTAGGCTCCTGATTTGCATGACCAGGTCCTCTGATCGTTCACTAGAGTGTCGAGACTCTACATGTACCTAGTGAACACGCGCTAACTAATGAATTCTTTTGTCTCATTTATGCCTAAATTTCTCTTAGGGTAATCTTTCAATTTTTGTCGTAACCGTTGTTGTTATTACTACTTTCGGTGGCAGTATTGAAAAGATTTTAGAAAGTACTCCTATCCTCCCTTCATCTCCGGTTCAGTCCATCCATTGACATTCGGATTAATTTGTCGATGCCACAATTACTATTAAGACGCCCAATTAGCTTTTGTAAACCTTTACATTCCTAGATATTTTACTGATAGAGCAATGAAAAAACACAATGTTGGGCTACTATTCTGCAAAAACCGAATCCATATATTTGTATTCAGTCTTTAAGTTTATATCTGATATCATTCTTTCTCTGAATCTATCGTAGTATCTTTTCTTTGTTCGTTAATGGAGATTACACCTGTACAACTCCCGGTTGCCCGAAAGAACTTGAACAACGACGAGATGAACATGTAATATGATATACTTTTTATATATTATTTTTATCGATTACTATGCAAACATTTGCCAGTACACTTGAAATTATTTTATATGGTTGGACAGAGTAGAATCTCGCGCGTCAAATGGTAAAAGTATTTTTGAGTTTGGTCCAGAAATGGCGGCGTTACCCAAGCAAAAACGACCCAATTTTTTGGGTTATTTATCTAGATTCAGCTCCACGTACATCTAGATGCACGTGGACTTGAATCTAGATAAATAGCCCAAAAAATTGGGTCGTTTTTGCTTGGGTATGATCGGGAGTTTAAACGCGAAGCGAGCCATTCTAATTAGGTAGACAGTTCTTAAACTAAACAGAACAGCAACCAACATTTTGTTTACCAAATACAACGCTTTCATACAAATACACGTGGAAAACCTATGAATTTAAAACAACTTTATTTTCACTACAAAGTTTAATATTACGGAAAAATTTTGCTAGCAAAAATATTCTACTCATTCTTGAATGAGTAGAACATATTTATAGATGTTCTATATATCCTCTTTTATAAATGCGTGAGTTTGATCTACCGTTGTGAACATCCTTCTTGTTTCCATTCTGTCGTGACAAATACGACCACTCTATCTATATATATGTGCAACTAGGAGCAGCAGCATAGTGTCAATGCCCTTGTTAAGTTTCTGTTAGCTTCTTCCTGTTCATGTGACATTCTAAAGTGGAAAGTTTTAGATTTATCGTTTATGATTTATACTTTGTCGTCAAATGCCGAATCACAAAATGAGTCCATCATCGACTGTTCGATCAATTGCTACCGATATTATTCAACATTTTACACGTTCATTCCGTCGTTGTTCAAGTTTTTTCGGGCAACCGGGAGTTGTACAAGTGTAATTTCCACTAACAAACAAATAAAGAATACTACGACAGATTCAAAGAAAGACAGATATCGGATATAAACTTAAAGAATGAATACAAATATATGGATTCGGTTTTTGCAGAATAGTAGCCAAAGACTAGTTTTTCTTTGCTCTACCAGTAAGATATCCAGAAATGTAAAGGTTTACATCAGAAATTAACTCCTCTACTAAACATATGCGTTATATTCATTTAAGTGTTTCTTTTTTGTAACATCCTAGACACATTCGTGTTAAAATAAACTGATTGATTGATTGTCGTAATAGTAATTAGGCCATGGACAAATAAATCCGAACGTCAATGAATCGAGTGAATCGAAGATGAACGTTACTTGTTGTATACTTGTCCTCGATAGCCGTCAGGAATTTGTAAATGAATTTTGTTAATTAATATAAATATGCTTAGAAAAATGAAAAATCTTTTTGTAAGTCGAGTGAATTTTTCGCTTGGAAATTTAAAGAAAGCAGAAGTATCGTTTCCGAATTCGAACGATTTATAGTATCAACTACTATTTTGTCTGATAAGCTGTGTATAGTCAAACATACTTTAATGTAAATGTAAAAAGTAAAATAATATAAGATATACAGGAAATTAAGAAAACGTTGACTACAGAAAAAGATGTAATCCTTGTTGTAAACATATGGCACATTTTAGAAGATAGATGCTTTCATTCACGATGTCGTTCGTCAAGTAGTGAAAGCATATTTGAAACGCATTTCCCCGCATCCTGCACAGCTTGTGAATTAGCCAATGGACGAGGCAAAACGTATGTGTAAAAGTTTGGTCCTTCAGCAATGTTGCCTAGTGCCCACAAATTTCGAATGGATGCACCGTTTCCATCAACGACATTGTGATATTTATCAATATCGATGCCACCTGGATGAAAGTTACCATTTCGAAATGGGCGAATGAGTCTGTTTTGTAACATGTTTTTAATCAATAATGAATCATCTCGTTCAGGATAAAATGGTTCAACCATTCCTTTGATTAGAACATCGGCAAATATTTGATGGTTCATATCTTTACTTTGTACCATAAAACTTGCCGTGGTTTTTGTACATATTACCTGTGGATCGGGTATATATGCCAAGTGCACGATACCGGCTCTCACCAGGGCCAGTAATTCTTGATTCTTTTCTTTTGGCGGTCCAAGAGATCATACTTGTAGAACGTCCTTGCTGGACAACGAAAGTGGACATTTCTAGATAGAGGGTGGTGGTCCAGTCTTCACAAACATTTTTATAGTGCCAAATTTTTGAAAACTGAAACAAAAAGGCGTGTTGTCAGGTAAATAAACATACATATAGAAGTTTTGCAGAGGGTTTTAATTAGCTAACGATCGATCCATGTTTTATGCTATTGCAACGTTCTGTATTGCGTTCAGGAGCTTTGGACTTTCTTAGCAGATTAGAGCATTTTCATTCCAGTAGGCGGCGTATAGTCAACTGTACCGTTGTTGTTGCCTTATGAATATGTTCAGGCTATCTTTTTTGTGAAAAACATGTATTGCGGGTGGTGTTTTATACGTTGTCGTACCCAGCGACGAGTACTGTCTTTTTCCTTTTTGATGGTTTCACCGGTGATCGAGGGGTTTCTTTTGAGATTTTAGTTTTCAGGTATTGACTGTGTTTCGCTTCTGTATATTTTTTCAAATGATGAACAAATGTTGTTTTTGAAAATTTAAGACAACATGTGTTTCTTGTTTTTTAAGCACATTACATGCAATAAAGTGTAAAAATGCTTAAACTCATGCAGGTAAGTAAAGACGAAAAATTGACAGAGAATTCTTCTCCATTGCTTTTTAAAGTTATTTTTATAGATGTATTTATTTTTTGATATAACTGCAACGGGTTGACCAGTTTTGAGACAACAAGAATGGTAGTTTCGTTTTATTTTATTTTATTAACGTGACCGATTTCGAATTCTTCTTCAGAGGTTCACAAAAAACTATATGAAAAAAATGAATAAGAAAGTTTCTTCTCACATACACAAAAAGCTAGTAGCTGCTACTAATAGCACTCATCTTTTTTCTCTGTTCCTACTTACTATATAGGAATACGCCACTTGTTTTTGTACTTGCCAATACTTAAGTAATCTTGTACCTAAAAAAAGGCCTTTATATAAGGTGCCTTCCAAGCACAATAACGAAAATGATGGCTAACGCCAAGAAAAATTCGTTATGCATTTGGAAAAGGACATATACAAGGCAAATAAAAGATATCAAGCATACATATCTAGTATGCTCAGTACATCTAGCCAAGGTTTACAAATAATCTCAGAAGTTGTGCAAAACTCAACTCTTGATGGTCAGGCGACCGCACGGTGAAATAAAATACTACCGACAGTTCAACCAACGGTTCATTATCAGTGCGAAGACGTACGATTGAAAGAGAATCGAGTGCCACAAGAAGCGCAATTTCAAAATCGGCTAGCCCATGTATATTTGGCAGAAATATACAAACTTGAATCGACATCACGGAAGGAATGGACATTCCGAGGATACAAAGGTGGAAGAGGGTGAGGGCAGGAAGGCAAGATCTGGCGGCAGGTCAGCAGAGTAGAACGTGGGGAAGGTGGGAAGACCATGATAATAGGACGGATAATGTAAGCAACACTGATCGTAGACGCGCAAGACCACCAGGAAGAGGTCGACGAGGAACAGATACCCCGCTGCAACCACCATTGATCAGACGATCAAACGGCATAACCATGAAAGACTCGTTGGGAAGAGATACAAGGCGAAATGTTATGCAATGACCATTGCTTCATAAAAATAGAAAGTTGTAGCGGCGCTACATTTAAAAATCGAGATGCAAATTTATTAATGACTTAGTGGTTATAATGTAACGATTCTAGGCCTACCTGTCGGCAATGTGAATCATGTCTGATTATTGCTGGTACCAATGATATATGCCGCAAATCAGTTGACCAAATCATGGTCGATTTGAATATATTAATTGCAACATTAAAGTATAAATATACTCCAATTCAACAGATGTATGTACAAGAAATCGAATCGAACCATGTTGGCAAAGGCAGCCACGAGAAGAAATGTTGAAGGAAATTCGAAAATATAACAAAAGACTACATGACATAGCACTTGTATACGGCTATACATTGATCAAAAGGGGCATAAAAGATGAAGACTTGAAAGATGACGGTGTACATTTAAATGACACTTGTGTACTAAAATCAGTGCAGATAATAAAAGAAACATTCGCTCGCTTTTCAATGGTTGACGCTACGAATAAGGCTCCTTCGAAGGAATATGCAGGAAGATTTATTTCATTCGAATAATAAGCTACGGTTCATAGCGTTACATAAAGAGAAGGAAAGAGATAATAAGTGTTTTGCCAGACGAGTAGGCCGATGATAGAAAATGAATCCAAGGAAACTCTAGAAGACAATAGTTACCGTAAAGTGATAAGAAAATACCTCTACCCTAGTGAAAAACTTACCCAAATCGTACTAAGATCTTGGAAAAATCTTGTTAAGATCTTAGTAAGATTTCGCTTACATTTGTCTAAGATCTTAAACAAATCTCACTAAGATCATGAGACCCGAAAATTCTAAGATTTGATAAGATTTTT